GCCTACCTCCATCTTAGGCTTAGAAGCCATCTTATAGCAAAGACAACCTAGGTTCATTCCTGTTTATGTTTAAAACTCTGTTTCTAAACCTCACCTATAACCTTAACTACAAATGCTTCTGTAGTATGTGTTCCAGGAATGGCAATCATGTCTTTGCTTCAAAAAGTTAATAACCATCGTGCAACCCTACCTTTGTTTCAAAAAGGTTGTTAGGGCTATGTCAGTATAACCACCTGTTGTTACGACCATCTTGAAATCATTTCTTTTTTAGGAGATCATTGGGAATAACCTGTTATATTTATGTCCTGCTTTTGGAACCCCAACTATTTGCCCACCAAATCCCCCATTTAGAAACCCCACACCGCTGAGCTATAAAAACCTTGTCTTCATATCCAGTGCCAACCTCTTGAACCCTGCTTTAGGGGAAGGTAGTCCTGTGTACATGAATTAAAAAAGCTTGCTATAATTAATTGCTTACTTGAATTCATTTGACCATGACGATGTAGGTCAGGGGTCTCTCTCCTCCCATCTTTGAGTTTAACAGAACATGTAAGCTGATGTTTATGTTTAAATTATTTTGAGACCCTTCGACAACATGATGACTGTCAAGGTGGTAGTGAAACACACAGAATAAGTAGCCTGGACTCTGATAGACTTCATGATCTCACCAGGAAATCAGGACTCGTCAACCCTGCAGTACCATAGTGCACTGCTATAGCCAATCTTACTTTTCTCTATGTATGCCCAGTTCCTCTGACATGGCACCTGGGCCACATCTTTGTGAAGCAGTTAGAGTCTGCAATGCTCTGATACAGTATAAATGACCTTTATTTTGTCTCATAGTTGTGCTTTGGTTTCTTGCTTTTTAACTGAACTCGGAAGTGATGATTTTGGTTTTTTCTCTTGGTTTCTCTTGATCTATCTCCCAGTTCCTCAGTCCCTGTCCCTCAGTCTCTGTCCCTCCAACTCTGTCCTTCTGTCTCTGTCTGTCTCTGTCTCCCTGTCTCTCTGTCTCTCTCTGTCTCTGTATCTCTCTGTCTCTGTCTCTGTCTCTCTCTCTCTCACACACACACACACACACACACACACACACACACGTGTATACACCCTGATCTTGTCATTTAATGTTCTACCTTAGATCTCAAGCCTTTCAGTAAGGTTTTTGACACGGCCTTTGCTGAGCCGCAGTTTCTGAAGTGGCCTCGTGCAGCTCTTCCCAGGCACAGCTCTTCCCAGGCACAGATCTTCCCAGGCACAGCTCTTCCCAGGCACACTTCGACTACAGTCCTTGGATTACTCTGATTGTTATGCTGTCTGCACACAGACATTCACCACAAAAGAAATTACTCACTCCTGGAAAGAGATGACAAACCTCTAAATCAAAAACATCAAATGAGTAATTCTCAAAGCATATTTTTGTTTTTATAAAGCCCATAACATTCTAATTGCCTTGAGATAAATTAAAAAAAAACAGTAAACCTTACTCAATTTTCTACTCAGAAACCACCTTTTCTCATAGACTGAGAGTTCCCATCTGCCTAAAGCTCTCTGATTTAATCTCTTCCATTTACCACCCACATGGGAAGGAGCCTGTTGAATCAGGGAGGTAAACTATATCAGTTCTGACTCTGTGGTCCATCACTTTTCTCAGGGATGCACTAACTGGACCCATCAGACTTCCTGGCAATGGATGGCAATCACAAATAAAGAGCAAAGAAAAGCAAAGAGCTCTGCTCCTTGTACTGAGCGATTTATTCCATGACAATGGTGTCTGATAATCTAAACACACTCCCCACCCCTGAGGATCCCAATGACAGGAGAAAAGACAAAGAGATAAAAGCACTAGACGCATAGCATCCGGAGCTAAGGCAGCATCTAGAAATGTGCACCCAGCCTAACTGCAGATGACAAGGTCACAAGACTTCCTCTCACTGTAGGCCACTGGCACTCAGAAGTGGCTATGTTCTGCAAGTCAATCACAGGCCTTGTGGGCCATCTAGCCACGATGCAAATAGCAGCGGGCACTCAATCTCTGCACATCACTTCTCTTCCGTGTTCCAATTCTCCAATTACACAGAATTCCTCCAACCCCATCGAAATGACCATGCTTAGGGTATAGTGAGGAATTTAGGTTCTTCAAAGTTTCAATGGTGAATAATAAATCATTTAAAATGTTGTTTATTAGATGGAATTCTATATACAGGTAGTACATGCCTGTAATCCTAGCATTCAAGCCAATCTGGGCTACACAGTGAAAGAGAGAGAGAGAGAGAGAGAGAGAGAGAGAGAGAGAGAGGAAGGGAAGGAAGGAAGGAAGGAAGAAAGGAAGGAAGGAGAAAGAGAAAAAGAGCAGAAAGAAAGAAAGAGGAAGGAGAGAGGGAGGGAGGGAGGGAGGGAGGGAGGGAGGGAGGGAGGGAGGGAGGAAGAAGGGAGGCTGGAGGGACCAGTGACTCAGAGTTTAAAAGCTCCTTTGCTGTTCTTCTGGAAGACCAGAGTTCTTAGTTCCCAACACCGATGTTTTCAGATGACAACTGCCTGTAACGCTTCTGGCCTCCACAGCCACTGCAGACACACACATACACACACACCTTAAAATAAGATCTTTTTTTAATTGTAAAAGGTTTAAAGAAAGCAAAGTCATCTACACCTAGATAAACCTAGGTAAGAAATTCTCAAACATGTCACCAAAAGCATTATCCATAGATGAAAAATGAGTTTATTGAACTTTATCACATTTTAAAGCATTGGTATGGTAAAGTATTTTGCTCAGATGAAAAGTTGATTTAAGACTGGGAGAAAATATTCATAATCCACATTCTGACAAGGATCAACGCTAATTCTAAATGCGATTCCATGTGGCCATTATTAAACTATACTTTTATGCTGGTGATAATGCAAGTTTTATTGCTACAGACAAGGTTTGTGGGTGACACCATGTTTACACACCACTGCGGAGTGTGTCACCCTTCACTCTCATCCTTCTCCATGCTGGAGTTCACAAGGGAAATATGTTGATGTGCCATCTCAGGGTCTAAAGTGGATAAATGGTATTCAAAGTGGCAGGCAAAGGTCAGAGGTCAAAGTGATAGGCAGAGGTCAGAGGAGACAACTTGAAGGAGACAGCACTGGCCAATTTAGTACAGATGGAACAACAAAACACGCAATCATGCTGAATCGATTATGACCTGAATGAATTAAAATTAATGATTTCATAGTAGGTACATAGATTAATAGAGATACACATGACATTCATACAGATATATCAGGCTGACAGACAGACAGACAACAGGAATTTTACTGAAGATAAATTCCAACTAAAAAACTATGGTCTAGATAAAGAGATGAGGGACAGAACAAGCCAGCAGCGGTCACCTTAAACTCACGATCACAGTTAACAGCATCAGCAGCGGCAACAGGTCACACGGGTGTCCTGTGCCTCCTGCTGTGCTGAGGAAGACAAAGCATGACTTTTGTGGCCTCTAGGCAGAACGTGTATAACCTGAATCTAATCCAGCCATAATGTCAGACAAACCCAATTGAGAGACATTGGATAGCTAGCCACAACTCTGATCGTGTCAAGATAGGAACTGTTTCACAATAAAAGACCAATGAGACATTATAATTGCATGTCACATCATTCTGGATGAGACTCAAACCAGAAAGAAAAATATATCAATGAAATATGTCACTGGGACACTGACAAAGTTTGAACATGGAGTGGGGGGGGACTAGGTTCTGAGATTGTGGCCATGTTCAGTCTCCAGACACTGCCCTTTGTACTCTGTTCACCCGACATGATCCTTCCTTGGGGGATAACCACTGGAGGAGAGGATGTGCAATGTCTCCATCTTATTTGCAAATGATACAGAAACAACCAGAAGGCAAGTTAACTTTGGCTCCTAGGTAACAAAATTTTTAAAAAAGATTTAACTATTCTAAATGTTTGTAGAAGAGCCAATTACATTAGACACACTGTATATTTTTATATGAAGTTTTCATAGAGGAGAAATATCTAAAATGTCTCGTTGAGGAAGCAATAATGAGGGGTAAAGAGTTGAGAGATGTACACCAAAGTGAGCGGATGGAAAAAAAAGAGAGGAAGAAAGAGCAAAAGCAAATGGCAGCCTGGGCAAGAAAACAGCGTGCAGAAACTACCTTGCTCTTAGGTCTACATTTCTGAAATTAAAATTACAAGAAAATTTTCAAAGTGGTGATGTCGCACCTTTAATCCCAGCACTTGGGAAGCAGAGGCAGCCAGATTTCTATGAGCCTTAGAACAGCCTGGACTACAGAGAGAGTTCCAGAGCAGCCAGGGCTACACAGAGAAATCCTGTCTCTAAACCCTCCCAAATAAAAAATTACAAGAAAGCAAAAGTAGAGAGGAGAGAGGAGAACCAAGCATCAGCAAAAAATAAGTAAATAAATAAGAATAACAAGGAAATGTGTGCATAGCCACAGAGATAATTTGAATTATTGCTTCTGCAAAGCAAGTGGTGAGACTCTTTCTTAGATGCAGGGCTTGAGGACAGTAGTGTCTCATTTGTGTCTCTCAGTTATTTATACATGCACACACACAGGCACACATCACACACATGCACACACACGCATACATGCACATACATATGCACACACATACACACGCACACACACACACATGCATGCACGCACACATACCCCTTGCTTCATGGAGGACACGGCAGAGCACAGGTTGCACACTACAGCAGTGAAGAGCTAAAGGAAAATGAAAAACCTGCCTAAAGTATAAAAAGTAACTGAGGTTATTATAAATATTCCCTCGCGGAGATTTTTGAAACTTTGGCAAATGTATTGTTAGGCATGTATAAATAACTGGATCTCCGAAAGGGCAGTTCAAGAGCAAAGAGATTAAAACAGTCTTTTGCTCAAATATTGACTTCAGCGTGCCAGGCAGTGTTGGCTTTAAGCCAGCTGAAACCTCTGTTTTCAGTAAACTTGCCAACTCTTCTCTGTATGGTAAATAGTGCGGCTCTGTCGCGGATCGTCATCCTTGGTAGGTGTTTTCTGTTTTTCTGTCATTTTCCCTCCATAACCGCCTGCCAGCTACCAGTGACTATACAACTCCAGGACAGGTAAGAAGGTGGACACTCCACATCCATGCGACCAGGTGTGCTAAACCAGCAAACAGCTCCCCAGGGACCGGGAAAGAGCAGGGAGACCACGGGCCTTGCTCTTAAGCTCTGGGTTCAGACAGACTGTGCCGATCCCGTTGCTTTCCCTCCCTGGATTAATTAACTCAGAATTGCTTCTTAGTAGTAATTCAGGTTCCTGTTTTTAATTTCCTCCTGTGCTGAAAAATAAATAGGTCTAACCACACACTCAGGCCCCTTTGCCTGGGCTTTTGTGCCATAAGCAGGCTAGTAGTCGCTGGGAAACATCTGGGCTGCTGCCAAGTGGGCGTTCAGTTCCTTTGTTGCCGTTCGGGTTGGCCTAGCTAACCACAATCCTTTTCCACCGCCGCTCTGCAATGCGCCTGAATTAGAGCCGAGAGGCCACAAAATGTACACAAGAAAGGGGGGAAAAAGGAGAAAATGAGGAAAAGAGGAGCCAGGGTGAGGAATAAAACTTGTAAATATTTTCTTGTTTTCTCATTATACATTTTCAGCTCCTGACTTCACAAAAATATGCAAGCCTCAAATGCACACTGTCATATTTGGGCTATTTCTCCTCTCTGCCCAGCCCAAGAGGATTATAGGATGGTTAACATGAGGGACATTCCTGGGCTCCAACTTCCTAGGGCATATGCCCAGGCTTTTGGCTTTGAGAGGTGGGGGCAGGGTGACAAATGCCTTAGGGGGTGTCTGAAGACAAGCAGATGGCTTTAGCAATCCTGTGCCAGTGTGCGGTTTGTGTAACTCCTGCCCTCTCGACCCCATTTCTGTACCACTTCCTCTTCCCCCCCAAAAATGGGTTTCTACTCATTCAAGCAGTGAATTTGTAAGCAAAGGTTTGAAGACTATGGCCGAAGCAGAGACAGCAAGGAAGCGCTCAGGTGCTGAGCTCTCTTTTCCTTGTGGATCTTGTCAATTTCCTCAGACACTCGGGTGGTAGGAACAGTGTGGACACACACAAAAGTATCAGAGGATACAGGCCATGTGCGCAGAAGACAGTACGTGAGGAACAGTCAGCCAAAATGAGAATGGCCCAGGTCTGGGGGTCAGATACACATGACTGGGATCATCAGGTCCAAATTCAAACTTTGGCAATGGAGGGGACATTAACTACAAAAAGATAAAACTCTGAAATGAGAAAGAAATGTGCAAATGAGCAGAACATGACTGATTCTTCTCGGGGACCAGTTTCAGGACCAAACACACGACACGGAAAAGGCCGAAGAGGAAGGCCACAAGGATCTTCATCCGACAGAGAGGCTCTTTGTTTCCTGCAAAGGAAACAAACATTCTAGAGAAGTCATGTGGGCTCTTTTACATGCCACTAAATGACACAAGGAGAAAAATCTTCAGCGTTTTATCACAAACACAGATGCAAAGCCGTGTGCCGCCCAGTTCTTTCCTGTGCTGACATTTAATACACAGTCTGGTCAGGGAAGCGCCATCCGAAGGAGGTGGCTCTGGTTGGGTGGATATGGGTCATATTTGCAGACTTCAGATAGTTCTGGACCAGCAGGGAAGTACGGGGCTGTAAAAACCTAGAGGCGTGGGTGAATAACAGCATCTCTCTGGACTCTTCGGAACAAAGACTGTTAGCCAGCTGGGAAAGAAAGTGGATAAACTGGAATTTTTCTTCCTGATGAGACCAACAAGGTATGTAAGGCGCATTACTGACTAAATAAAGGTAACCGAGTTTAGACTGAGTGACTGCGTGTAAACCGAGTACCCTTCCAGTTCACACCTACTGCCTCAGAATAATTATCAGCATTCCCCTGGGTTCAGTCTCCAAGCGGTGCCAGTTAGGTGATACATTGTATCGTCCAGTAAGCTCTGAAAAGCCCACGTGCTAAAGGTGGGGTTTCCGTCCTTCAGTTAGGTGATACATTGTATCATCCAGTTAACTCTGAAAAGCCCAGTGCTAAAGGTGGGTTTCCGTCCTTCAGTTAGGTGATACATTGTATCATCCAGTTAACTCTGAAAAGTACACGTGCTAAAGGTGGGGTTTCCCACCGTTGTGAAAGCTCCGGAGCTCAGCTCGCCTTTCTCTCTGGAAGTGAGTCCGCAGCTCTCTTTAAGAGGTAGTCTTGGATATGATGAGCAGTGGGGAGGTTAAACCTACCAGCTTATCTTCTGGGAGACCTGGTGCTTTGCCTTACAGTCAGCCCAGCACAGACACGTGGCATCACAGGTATGTACTGACTGAGTTCATTGGTGACTGGGATCACAGGTTAATATTTAATTCATAGTGGGATGGATTATTACAAATTGCCTCTTTCCTTGCCAAGTTCTTTCAGAACCATTAGGATATACACGACCATCTCACAAGTCCTTCCCTAGTAGAGCTATAAGTATCCACCAAACAATTCTGGCTCTCCCAAATTTAATCTAGCCACTGAATCGAGATACTGACTTTCAGGATATCCCAGACAACCTGTCTAGGGTGTTGTTTCCCATCCAGTCCTCACTCTGCCAGACCAGCAATATTTCTAACATGGGACGCCCCTAGTGCAGGAAATTCCAGGTCTAGGACTCAGACATGAATGCCCGTCTATTATTGTTAAATTGCATGTGTCAAGAAGTAGTTTTTTCCTGTCAGAGGTAGACAGGACGGCATGTCCATTGTGGTTCCCAGAGGCGACGAAAACAAAACCTGTTCTTAGATACTGAGAATGTCCCACAGATCTGAAAACAGCCACTTAAGATGTTTTTAATGTCTCATTTTTCATACGCTACAGAATATTACACTCAGACCTCAGGAATCACTTAGGACAAACATGGTTTACCTCCTTCTGGCAGCTGGCTTAAGAGGTGCTCAAGTTCAATTCAGGTTGATATTTAGGACTCTCCGGAGAAACAAAAGCATGCATTTCCATCATCCCGTGACATCCTGAAACAGTCCTAAAGTTCTCCAGATCTTCCATCCTTCCAGGTCAAGTCTCCATTTGTGACGATGGAGCCACACTCCAAGTGGGCAATGACAGGGACACTGAAAGCCTCATCAGTAGTTAATATCGCACCAAATTATATCTCACTGAAGGGCATCAGTGTCTTCTGGGCTAAACAGAAAGGTTGGGAAATGTGAAGGCAGGCTAGAAGAGTGTCTTTGAAAAGCACCTCGTTCTTCTTATTCTGCCTTTAATTCCTTGTAGGAAGAAGATGCTAACAGAGGCCACACTGGATGGAAAAGGAGGTTGGTCTCCCTTTTTCTTTTTCTAATTAATTCTTTGAGAAATTAAAGCAGTATATTTTGATCAGATTCACCCCCAGTTCCTCCCAGATCCAAGTCTTCTTCCCTCTCCACCAACTCTGTGTCCTTGTCTTGTCTTAACTCACAGAGTTGGATTTGTACTGTTCATGTACTCCTGGGTGTGTGGGCCTCCTTGGTGCGGAGCTTCCTCCACCGACTTCTTCCATTGGTCAGGCTCAGTACGAATGTGTGTGAGTGTAACCTCTTTCTGCCTTGCTCAGATGTGTCACATAAGAGCTAGTATACATTATTAACCTTGCCTTTCTATCAACATTAGTGTTGATAGTAAATGAACTCTCACAAATATAGCCTTCAGATATCAGGGAAATTCTCTTTAAAGGTTTTTTTTGGGGGGGGGCTGTTTGTTTAGTTTAGTTTTGTTTTGTTTTGCTCTTTCAGTAGTGAAACCAACTGGATATGAAACAGGTAGACTATTCACTCTCTTCTTCCATTCTAAAACATGATCATTGAAAATTTAATAGCAAATATCAAAAACAAATAATCTAGCTTCGGTCTTACATTTTATGGGAAGAGAGTTGCACTTATGTCTAAGATATGTTAATTCTACTTTTCAAATAAGGAAAGAACTGAAAATGAAATAAAAATAAAGAATGTGAAATTATTCATTTCACTAGGAAGTATAAATAGGAATGTAGAAGGTGTTGGATTAGGGGAAGGTAGACAAGCTCACTTTTTCTGAATTTCAGGTGGAGGAAAGGTGATGAACAGAATCATAAACCAAGGACAGTTGCTGCTCGCACAATTGCCTGAATATTGTCACACATCTATATGTTCGAAGCTAAGAGAAACAAAACACTCCCTCAAAGCTAAAATTTCTACCTGGGATTGAGAAAAAGTAAAACTAGGGAAACTATGAATTTTCTCTTCTACAGTGGATGAGAGTAACCTGTCAGATTCCCCGACAGCAGTTGAAGTGAGCAATTGCACACATGGACCAGAGAAATGGAGGTTATGCGATATACAGAGACAACTGGTGTAGGAGGTCCTTCTGTCTATGTGTTGCTTTCATTGATTCATAAAGGAACTGCTTTGGGCCTATAGCAGAACTGTAGGGGAACTGAGCTAGGTGGGGAAAACAAAACTTTTGGAATGCTGGGAAGAGGAGACGGAGAGAGACACCATGGATCCGCAGCCGGAGGTAGATGTGCTGAAACTTTATGGCTAGACCATGACCTCGTGGTGATATACAGATTAATAGAAATGGGTTAAATTAGGGTGTAAGAGTTAGCCAATAAGAAGCTAGAGGTAATGGGCCAATCAGTGATTTAATTAATACAGTTTCTGTGTGACTATTTTGGGTCAGGGCGGCAGGGATGAACAAGTGGTTCCTTGCTGCTACAGACAAGTTGGAATTAATTCCAAAATGATGGCCAGTGAAGTGGTTTATGAAAAATTATAAAACCCTCACATAATGTCAACATCAAATGCCTGTAGTAGAGGACAGGAGATGGGAGAGGAAATACCCCAAGACAGAAAGATGGGGAAGGAGCAGGAAAGAGAACCTGAGGAAGAATGCACACATTTTACGAACTGGTCTCAGCTAATAAGTTGCATAAATGGAAGAGATGTGGGTGCAGAAAATGCCAGGCTGAGGGTGCAGCCCTGGGCTGCATGTGCCAAGGACCCTAAGCAAGCTGCTTTCTCTGCTGCTGTGATAAACACCATGACCAAAGCAGCTAGGAGAGGAAGGGGTTTGTTTTGATCTTACGTTTCCAGGTAATGCTGTACCACTGAGAGAAGTTTGGACAGGAACTCAAGGCCAGAACCAGGAGGCAGGAACTGAAGCAGAAGCCACAGAACACAGATATTGGCTTTCTCCTCCATAGTTTGCTCAAATACCCTTCTTAAGAGAGTCCAGAATAATCTTTCTGGGGTGGTGCCATCCCCAGTGTGTTAGGCCATCCCACATCAATTATTAATCAAGAAAATGTCCCACAGATATACCCATAGATCCATAGATGCACCTCAGTTGAGGCTGCCTCTGCTGGGTGACTCTCATTTCACCAACCAGCGCAGCAGTCTATGGGTGGCATTTGTGTTAAGCCTAACGTGTGTCTAAATCATAGGGTGAGCTTGGTACCCCAATTTTTGAGTTGCATAGTCCATTATAAACCATGTCAGAATGTGGGTTTCCCTTTTCTGTCTTGAATAAATTTTCATTTTTGGATCCAATGTTATGTAGATGTTGAGATTTCACTCTTTAATTGATTAAATATGGAAAATTTAGAAAGCCCACATTACTGGAATTTATATGAGCAAATGCTGCTGCATGGTGAGAGGAGGTGGAAGTGGAAAGGAATCTTTCTGAGCATTGTGCCATCTATCTTTCAGTGACTTCCTTCGTCATATTATTTATCTGCATTAGCATTTTTGTGGTCTGGAAATTACAAACAATTTTTAATAGTCCTCTGAAAAGAATTTGAAATGTGGAACAGTCTGTGGAAAACAAATTTTTGTATAATTCTGTCAGGATCTAGAGAAAGTATCTTGTTCCTCTAACTTACTTCTGCTTAGGAAGTCGTCCAACAGGAGCTAAAAAGAGAAGTTGAGACTTGAAGGGGCTTTTCATCTTGCTCATCTGCGTATGCTCGAATATTGAATACTTTAAACCATGCTGTTTCATGGGTGACAGGACAAATTTCCACTAGTTACTGATCCCACATTAGTTTGATGTAGCTTATAGAATCTTGTTGATTTGGGGACTTCAAAATGAATAACATAGTAATTTCGTTTTCAGAGCTATAAAGCTTAACATCAATAATAAAGTATGGTAGGAAAATAATCAGAATATTACATAAATATGAAGAGTGATTTAAGAAGTTCGCATTTCTACTCTTTAAAATATGATGAAATAGACACTATGGAAAATACAAATACACATATAGAAAATATAAATATCTGGGTAAAATATTTTAAATATTTCTCAAAACCACTACTAGGACATGAGAATGCGATTTTTAGAGCTATGAGATTATAGAATAAGGTAGAAAGTTTGGACAAGTCTACCAATTTTTTGGTTGCATGTTTGAATTGAGTAAAATCTGCAGAAGAAAATGAAGGATAGAGTCTGTACTATTTTAGAGGATTCTGGCAAACATTAAGAAGTAAGCGGCCCCACCTTAAACAAATGTTTCAGACAATAGGGATAGAGAGATTACACCCACCACTGCCGGCGCACATGCAAATAGTTGGCAAGTCAGTAAAATTTCAGTGCCATCCCAGAGCAAGATAGTACCAGGAAAGAAAAGCCCGTGCTGACCTAGCCATGGAAAATGCCCTGAACAAAACCTAGAAAACACTTATTTAAAAAAAATTAAAGCAAGAATTGTGACCAGATAGCATGTGTTCTAGGAATACAACATGAAAATAATGTGAAAAGTAAAAAGCTGAATGATTATCTTCACACAAAGAGAGTAGCAACCAATACAATTAATAGCCCTCAAGATAGAATTTCAGCTAAGTAGAAGCTTGCTTAACCTCCTCAAGCGTAGTTCCGTTCCAGGTGTGGCACACACCTTTAATCCCAGCACTCAGGAGGCAGAGGCAGGTGGATCTCTAGGAGTTTGAGGCCAGCCTGATCTACAAAGTGAGTTTCAAGACAGTTGGGGGTATACAGAGAAACCCTGTCTCAAAAAAAAAATGTAGTTCCGTAAAAATACCACAAAACCCCACGAATATATTACTCAAGTATGAACAATCAAGTATGAAACACTTAATCTTCAGTATCTTTATAAAAAAGGAGTAAGACAAGATGTTCCCAATCACTGATATGCGACATGATACCCAAAAACTAAGAGTCAAATACAGACACACACACACACACTCATACATACATACATATGTACGTACATACATACATACAGAGAGAGAGGGGGGAAGGAGAGAGAAGATTAGTGGAAAGAACAGTTATTTGTGAATGATATTATTGCATTGAAATTGCAAAAAAGTGCATGGACTATTACTAGAATTAATAAAATAATTTACATATGTTTCAAGGCTTAAAATTAACATATAATGGACTTGTCCAGCATTGGACCCTGCAAGACACAGTGGTGACCTGCCAGGCGAGATGTTTGCTGATGCAATGGTAGCCTGACTGTTGATGGGTCATGAAAACAGCTTTCTGATCAGACAGATTTGAAGTTCATTACTGGTATTTTAAAGCCAGCCAAAAACCCGTGATTTTGGGAGGTCATAGGCCCTCCAGGGTATAACCTGTTATTGTTATTTTGCAAAATGCTGCCAAATTGCATTCTAAACATTTATGCTTATGCCTGCAGACCTGGGCTTTCCTAACCTTGGTTAGTGAAGTTTCATTTTGTAGTGGGTAGCAGATACATACTCTAGGTCAAAATGCTGAGACAAAGAGATTACATAATCATCCATAATTGGGACAACTTCATTGAACTCCATCCCTCTGTCTCCCTATCCCAATTCCTACCAAGGCTCAGGGAATTTCTCGGAAGAGGAGAAGGGATGTAAGATCTGCAGGATGGCCTGGCTATGGTGTTCACTCACAGCAGCTCCAGTGTTTTCAAGCCTACACAAGATCAAGCCAGCCAAAATCCCAGCTTAGGTAAGAGACGTACTCTCCAGACCCTGTCCGTGTCAAAAAAAACTATTGACAGTTGATTTCCCATGCTCCAATGGATGGCCCTACACTCATCCACATATGGGCAACACTAATTTTATGGGTTATTAAAAAAAAAGATACTGAGTTTGGAGAGGGGCTGTTGGGGTGAGTCTGAGGGAAGCTGAAGAAGGAAATGAGGGTGATATGGGTATAATTCATGGTATACATGTGTGTCATTCTCAAGATGAGAAAAATTTTTTTATTAAAACATAAATAGATAATATACTAATAATAAAAATATTAAAACATTAATACATAGCAAACAATTTCATTTCTATGCATACAAACCAATAGTTATAAACTACAAGTGAGAATTAAAGATATCTACAATGATAAGACAAATACAGGCGATCCAGACAACAAATCAGCAGCTGTTTTGCAAAGACATTAAGTAGAAAATTATAAAAGTTTATTGAAAGCACTTAAAAAAACTTTAAATGAACAAAGAGATGACTATCCTCATCAATTGGAAGCTTCAAAATTCTAAACCAAAGACTTGGTATCTTTTGCTCTCAATTCTGACAACACGGCACATCACAGCTGCACCCTGTGAGACTATGGCTTAATTGATGGGAGGTAGGCTTCACCTGCCAGCTTTTTAAAAAAGACTTCCCAGGTAGTTATAATGTGCATAGGATCACCTGCACAGCTCACTAAACTGCATGCCCTACGTGTCATCCACAGAGATTCTCACTAACAGGTTAGCGGAAGCTAAGCATCTTGACTGGGAAACAGAATCTGAGAACCAAAGACCCAGAGAAGCTCTTGTCCACCAGGAGACACCCATTACCACGTATATGTATCATCAGTACATATGGCAAAAATAGAAAACACCAAATGTCCCCCAGAAGGAGACAGAAAAGTCACATAATATCCCAGCAATGCAATGCTATGTAGCAGGGAAATGTATGCAGGTGTGCATAGTGGATAAGGATCATAACTGCTCATCCCTCTGCATGCTTGCTCCAGCCCCTTTTAAGTGGCAGGTATTGTGTGTGCACTCAGGGCACGCTAATTGGAACACAGAGAGTTAAAGAACTGACAATCAGCTAAATGGTAGTTGGCTTTTTTTTTGGACAGTGCCCTCCGAATGGATTCAAAGCTGCCTCTGTATTTCTTTTCTAAAGAGAAAGCTGTCTCTCTTCTGAAAGGAGCCTGGGAAGTGACTGAGAGGCCGGGGAGGGTAGGAGATGGTGGCCTCTGACTTTGTCATGCAGGTTCCTCCCCCCCTTGTTCTCTTCTGTATGACCCCTGCCCTGCCAAAAACACAACTGCAAAAGTACTCTCATGAAATGTCAACGTTTTGTTGTTTTCTAAATTTGTCTTGGGATTTGGAAGTGCTTCTAACTTCCTGTTGTCCTCCAGAAATGGATGAATTGGTAAATGCGTGGCCAGGAGAGGGGGAGTCCTGGAACTCCCACTCGGCAAGCCTTGGCGGCGACTTGAAAGATGGAGGGAAGATGGGAGGGATGCCCTGTTTGTTTCTCTCACGGTTCTCATGGGCCAGCTGACCTGGCACTTGCCCTCTCAGTCATGACTCCAGTGAGGTTCCTGACCCTGCAAACACTGTGGCAGCCAATGCTAGCGACACCCAGTAGGGCTGCCTCCTAACTGCTGGCGGTGTTCTATGGGGCTGCCCGCTGCTGTCCTCTGCCCTAAAAGCATTAGCCTTAAGAACTCACTACGCATACACTAAAAGTATCCATCTTCTCTGTAGCTGCAAAGATACGCGATTCTGTCCTGGAGCAAGCTGAGAGCTAAATGTCCTTCTGAAAGTCCTGTTTTTAAGTTCCAAGCCCTAGACTCCAAGAATGTGGCTGTATTTGGAGAGGGAGCCTTTACAGAAACAATTAACTTAAGGCAGCATCCTTAAAATGGGCCTGTTTCAGTGAGGTTCCTGCTATGAGATAAAACACGGACCAGAACTGAAACAGGCCCGTTTTAGTTGGGGAAGAAAGCAATTACTCAGTTCAGCGCCAGACCACAGTCCAGCACCGAAGGGAGAGAGGGCAGGCGCTCAACCAGAGCAGAGGCAGGAGGCGTGGGAGATGCCGCTTACTGGCTTGCCCCAGACTCATGTTCTCATACCTCCCAGAACCACAGGCCCAGGGTTCACAACACCCTCGGTGGGCCGAGCCCTACCACATCAATCATCAATGAAGAAAAAGCCCCTATAGACCAATCGGATGGAGGGGGTTCTTCTCAACTGAAGTTCACTCTTTCTGGGTAACTCTAGTCTGTGTAAAGTTGACAAAATAGAACAACACCTGTACATCCGGCATCCTCTTACAAAGATACACACGGACCAAAGACAGCCATGTGAGGACATAACAGGAAGTCAGACATCTGCAAACCAAGGGCGCAGCCCTCAGAAGAAGCAAAATGCAGACACCTTGATCTTGAACTTCCTCCAGAACTCCAAGGTAGTAAATTTCTACTAGTGTCTCTAGTCCCCTCTGGTGCTTGAACAGCAAAAATTCCTTGGGAAGTCCCTTCTGGACTCAAGAAGAAAACAAGAGCCAGGAAACTCTGGGAATATCGGTAACTGCTTCAAGGGCTCCGACTTCCAGTTTTTAAGAAGTGTTACTCTGTCTATGACATAAATTTTTGACCTAAGCTCCAAGTGCAGCCCTCTGTTTACTTAGCATTCAGGAGAGCAGCAGAACATACGATCCATACTTTAGGGAAGCAGCCTTGCAAAGTTCCTCCTGGGTTCCGAGTCCAAAGGACCCTCCGTAGCATCCCAGTTCTTAGCTGTGTGGAAGGAGCTGTCCCCCATGAATCCCAGTTTCTGCTCGGTGAAACAGGTAATAACCCCAAATGAACCTTTGAATTCTGTGTAAGGATTAGAGAAATTAACTGTAAACGTCTGTCTTGCTCTCGCGGGGAAGATGGCGCCTGATGGGTGGTAGAATGATAACTATTACAATGGGAATTGTTTAGAACAAACAGCTTCACACTGAGCCTAGCGACTGCTGAGATCCAACGGGCATGAACTCTCCACCTTCTCTTCAACTAAGATGCCATTGAGAGTCTTGGAACCTTAATTTGCCTGAGATATGACGATGACTTTTATTTATGGAAAATTTTCTACCACCTGCAAATTATAAAATTTCGCCTCTTCTTAAAATTCTTACACCTCCTCTTGCCTTTTGTTGTTTGACGTTTCGCATGAAAACCTTGAAATCAGACAATTTTATTCTTGTTCAGGATTTTTAGCCAAAATAATATTCTAAGTACTTGGCCATTCTGTCTTACATTTTCTATAGGTTATTTTGAGGTTTAGGACATTGTCTTCTCAACCATAGATGCTTATCATAAGCGATTTGGAGGATTTATTCAGGTATTTTCTCTACATTTATCAAGATGTTTATATATTTTGTTTACTTCTGTCTTCAGGACTGCAAATGGCATTCATATATTTAAAGTGTTTTGCTTAGTTGCATCTTAGAAAGCATCCAGCTTAGATAATAATAACTCATTATTTATTGATAATATATCGCTCAGTTCCAGTTAGTATTTTTTTAATTTAACACTTTTATATATTTCCCAATAACTGGAAATGCTATATAATATTCTATTTTTCATCTGTGCCTGGCTTTATTGGGCATCAATCTTTTATTTAACTCATGAAATAAAATGAAAATATTCCCTGTGTTTTGTCACTACCTCTCCTTTGGAAGGATGTGTGGTGGGAGTCACTTCTAAAATTGCTGGGGAGCCCGGCGATGGTGGCGCACGCCTTTAATCCCAGCACTCGGGAGGCAGAGGCAGGCGGATCTCTGTGAGTTCGAGACCAGTCTGGTCTACAGAGCTAGTTCCAGGACAGGCTCCAAAGCCACAGAGAAACCCTGTCTCAAAAAACCAAAAAAAAAAAAATTGCTGGGGATAAAGTATTTTCTTTTTGTCTTTTCTTCTTGGCATGTGTACGTGTATATGGTGCCTGTTCAAGTGTGCGTGCATGTCCAAATGCATGTGTGTGTGTGTGTGTGTGTGTATGTGTGCGCGTGCCAGTAAGTCTAAGGTATACATAGGTGCACATGTGTGTATAGAGGCCTGGGATGGATATTGAAAATCTTTCTCCGCTTCTCTGCCACCGTATTCTTTGAGGCAGGATCTTACAAACAAATATGGAGCTCACAAAATGGCACCACTCAGAGCCTTTAGAGATCTCCTGTCCCCAACTTCTAAGGCTGGAAGTACAGGCGAGCCGCCATGCCTAACCATCCTTTTCATGGACTCTGGTGATATGAACTCAGGTCCTCTTGCTTGATCTGCACTTTAACTTTGATTGGCTCCACAGCCCCTAATTCTTCTTTATAAAAGGACCCTACTCCCAGGAATTGCTCTGGTTCCTTTAATAGTTATATGGCCATTCGAAGCTTTTTCCTGAGTCAGTCTTGTGTACTGTCTTCTGAAAATATTATGTATTTTATCTAATATTTCTAATTTGATAGCCTGCAGTTCTACAAGCTAAAATCTCTTTAAATACAGAATCTGTTAGTATAGTTCCATTTTGATTTCATTTATTCTTTCTCTTTTTGTCGTTCATCAAGTAAACCTTTGTCAATTGTACCAAGTCTTTTGAAAAGTAGACACTTTGTCTCCTGTACTGGCGGAAGCACATTTGAACATTGTGGTATCCCAGCACACAGAGTCTAGTCTGACACGGGATGTGAGTGTCAGGTGCGAGGAAGAGAGGAAAAATCATAAGGAAAAGTGTGAGCAAAAACTAAGTTTAACTGGTGCCAATGGCAGAAGACATTATTAAATGCATGGATCTTTCCAGAAGAAGGGTAATGACAGACAAACAATATACCCTCTAGTTACATCAGCATTCAATTTTTAATTCATTAGAAGAATGCACAGATCATAAAAGTTTGGAAAGTCATGGGCATTTCCCTTCACCTTCTAGTGATTTTAATTAAAACAAACAAGCAAGCATAACCCTCTGTCTTCAACAACATGATTGGCTCCAGTGTTAGAATCTAGAGACACCAAATTTGCTGATTTTTTCTATTTACTGGTCCATATCTGATCTTATGACATGTAGTACTCCATCACTGTTTTTCTTCTCTAATCTGGTGTGGCCGATGTGCTGAGAGTGACTGACCACACACATACAGCAAAAGAGGAAATGTTGAAAGGGATGAGGGCTTTGCTTGCGTTGCTTAACACAGTCCTTCAGATGCTTGGTTGTGAAACAGACTTGAGGGTCACTCTTACCTTCAGAAAGAACTCTCTCTAGTGATCAGCAATTCTAACCCTCACATCTCTGCTCTCACAGCAAATTAAGTTAGGAGGGATGAAAAGAGGGAATACAGTGTCCCACGGGCTCCCTCCATGTATTTTATCCACATATTTAGTAGGACTTCTCTGGTGCTCTTTGAGCTAGAGGAGAATGAGGTTGGTTGCATGATTCTGGAAGAGGGAAAATTAAAGTAGTATTCTGGCCAAAGCACATACTTTGTAAACCCTATATCTCCTCCAGTGCTATAAGAACAGTAAACCCCTAAGACCGTATAAGAATATTTGCTCAAGGAATCACTGAGCAGAACGCCAAAGGCAGAGAAGTGAACAAGATGCTCAGGGAGTGGCAGGTGGTCCTGTGTGGCTGAAAACCGAGCAGCAGAAAGATGACGAAAGAGATGAGAATGGATGGTCTGAAAATGACCATCAGGGGTGTGAAAAGTGAGCGGGTGTGGAGGAAGGCAAACTTGAGGGATCCGCGTTCATCTGTTCAGACAACTGAAGAGTCAGGGAGATGACTCAGTGAGGGACGGCGTGTGCTGCCAGACATGATAACTGAGTTTGAGCCTCAGCTCCGTAACAGGGGAAGGACAGATGCCCTGAAGTTGTCCTTTGATTTCCACACACATACCAAGAAATGCATACCACGGTCACACACACATCACACACAAAAAGTAAATGTAAAAAGTTAAAACAAATGAAGTCTAAATACTATTTAAAATCAACCTATATTTTGGTATGATGATTTGATCTTAACCTGTGTTATATATTGGAATCAAAGAAAAAAGAATGGGAGAGGGAGAGAATAGACAAGCAAAAAGATAGGTAATAGATAATAGTAGATCAATAGATAGATAGATAGATAGACAGACAGACAGACAGACAGACAGACAGATAGATAGATAGATAGATAGTGTATCCCAAGATAGCCTTGAACCTGGACCACCACTAAAGATTGACACAGTAGAATTTGAAAATTCTCAGATGTATGGTGAAAATCATTCTCACAATGCTTTGCAGTTTGTAAACCTTTAAGAAACCCTATGGTTCTCATAGTCAACACAGAGCAGACTCCATAGATGTACTGGAATCCAAAGAACCATTAAAAATCAGCAAAAATATGTCAATTTTTTACATACATATGTATGTATATAAACATAATGGAGTTGATAATTCATACATTCATGAGCTTACTAACCCGAGGATGTCATGAGGTAATCAAAGGTTCAAAGGAGGCTCCAATAAGTTCATATACAAAGTGTTCACTCATTAACTCTTTGCGAGCTGCACTGTATTAACTCATGCATCCCTTAGAGACCAAAGCTGTACTGGGGGTATTACCATAGCAAAAGTTATAGTTGGATACTCTCAAAGCTTACAGTATAGGGTCCTGTCTCTTCCTTCAATGGAAAACTCAGGTACTCAAGCCCTCATTGAAATGAACAACACAGATAAGTGAAATTCCCACGTTACCCCAAACCAGTTACAAAACATGAGGATGTGGGTGATGTTCACGACCATAGGAGACTCTGGATCCTGGGTGGCACTGGGCATGCTGACTGTTACATGGTTAAAATGGGGGACTAGCTAACAGCTGCATGATTCCTGGAGCAGACACCATCATATTCAGTGTCCAGGAGAATCCCGAAATTATAATAATTATTTTGATATCATTTTCCTATCCTCCTGGGTGAATAAATTGGATTCTGAGAGCCTTAATATGCCCAAAGTTCTAGAGATTTGTGTGATCTGACTGAGGTATGTCTATCTCTTAAGCTTGTGGTCTTCACACTATCTGATGCTTCTGATAGACTACCAGCCGGAAAGAAAGACTGATACACCATCATAAGCAACCCCATGACAAGAGAGAGGGGCCTGTGACATCCCTGTGTTTGAAGAGCTGCATGTCACATGAGTAAAAGTATTGCAGATCAGCTCATCTCACAAGCTGCGACAACCAGCAACCAGAGGGCAGGGCACCCAACCTGGGGCGCACGAGATGCTCACGTTGACATGTCCCTGCTAGCGTGTCCGCTGATGCGAGGAATGCTGGTTCACTGAGTCACCCTGGCATTGCTTAACAGATGCCGCATTCTCAACAGCCTGGCATGCTAAGTGATGAAAGCGAATGAATAATAAACACAAGAACGTGAGTCGTCAAAAGGCTGATGAATAATCAAAGCTACATTACCTGTTGTATAAGCCAGAACTCATAGAATCAGCTGCCATTAGCATCACAGACTGCTAAGCCCTAAGGAATCACATGGCAATACACACGCTGTCAAAACGCACACCAAATCAAATGATACCCAGTTGGCATAGAGAACCGAGTGTCAAACCTTTAACGCCCTAGTCTTATTCAGATAAATTGCCCACAAAATGTGTGGCTTTACCAGCAACACATACATAACCTCGACTGACAACTCCAGACAAGTGGGCATGGAAAACAGCAAAACACACTGAGATTACCGTATTGCCTCCAGCTGTGGCCACCGCTGGAGCCTCACGCCATATCGTCCTTTCTGGACACTCCACCCATACTCAGACGGTCTTCCTGGAACACAGACGTTAACTGCTGAGTTCCTATACCAAGCCTTCTGTGGTTTGGTACATTATTAGAAGAGTTAAATCTTATGGCCATATCTAACCACCCTTGTCAGCTTCACCTTCTGTGTTCCCAACTGTCTTAGCATGCTTTCTCATTACCTTGATTAGAGGTTAAAGGTCATCATCTAGGGGAATCAGGGCAGGAACTCAAGGCAGAAACCTGGAGGCAGGGACTGAAGCAGAGACCATGGGGGAGCACTAATTACTGACTCGCTGTCCCTGGCTTACTCAACTGTCTTTCTTAAAACCCAGGATATTCTTTCTAGACATTGTGTTGCCCATAGAGGACTGGACTCTCTCACATCAATCATCAAACAACACAATACCCCCACAAACATGCCCACAGGCCAATCTGATGGAGGTGATTTATCCCTCGAGGCTCCCTCTTCCCAGACGTGTCAAGTTGGCAGCCAAGATTTGCCATCATAACTCACAGCTGTGTGTCAGAGTTTTACCACATAGCTCAGCTTTGCCCAAATCACAATCTGTTTCCCCACCCCCAGCCTATCTATCACTGTAGATAATTTCAGTCATCCTGAGGAAATACTTGTATGAAATTGTCCTTATAGAACTCATGCAATGACTCCATGCAACGAAATGTGTTTTTAACATTTACTTAGTATTGGTTGACTGGATGGATGAATGAATATGCTTATCCTCTCTCCAAAAACATTTGCTTTCTATAATTCTAAGAATCTGTGGAGAATCAAATGATCACCCACTGGCCCGGAATGATTCATCACACCCCATACTGTTCACTTCCCCACTGCCAGCCCATATCACAACACCCGGTCTGTGGGATTCTGCTGTCACGCTAGCCCTAGTTCAGGTTCTAAGCATAGGACTCACCTTCTCAGCCCATGTGGCCACAAGGAGCAGTCAGTTGCTCACCTTGCACAAAACTGACCTTCGGTAAATGTTCTATTGAAATCTTAAAATTCAACAAGCCTTTTCAAAAGCCTTATGTTTGTCTTAAAGTTTAGTATGTGGTTTTAAACCTCGCAGCTCACAGCACACACGGAAGAATGCAGTTACTACAGTGTGTTTCATTTGTTGGTGAAGAAAGCATGACAGTAAGAACCAACATCTACTTTGTCAAGTCAAAGTCAAACTCAAAAGACAAAGCAAAGAACACTATGAGGTTTAGCAAATGCTTTATGGTGCAGAACTGGCTGCCTCTACCTCTTCAGGCAGACCTTGGAGACCAAGACAAAGAAGGACGCAAGGTGTGGGCAATATTACAAATGGCGCCGTGCCCACAGACATGGTATTGTTTGTGTACCTTGGGAGGAAATGAAAGTGGAAGTGAGCAAGTGTGTCACTGCAGTGTGGAGACGGGATGATGTGAACACGAAGACAGTACTGATGGCCAAAACCAGCTCTGTCTTCTTGGTGCGTGTCCTAAAAGTGTACCTTACCCTTTCAGAGACTGCCAGATGCTCAAACAATGGCATAAAGGACAAGGACAGATGCAGAAAAATTGAGGACAAACCCCAAAATGCGTTGAGCCAGTAACCATGGTGAGTGCATGATACCATATCCTTATGCCATTCAAGTGCTCAGTGTGCTGAAGTAGAAGCAGGTTTAAAGGAAAGCTTAGCAAGGCCCCCTTCCCAGAGGGATCAGAGGGATGTGGAAGGGGAGGCAGAAAGCCTGTAAGAGCCAGAGGGGACGGGTGACACCGAGGAAGTAGTGTCTTCCAGACACAGCGGACTGACGCACATATGAGCTCTTGGGGAGCTTACTGAGGCAGCCTGCACAGGGCCTACACATGTCTAAGCCAGATGGGGTCTCAGTGCTGAGAGGGGGAAGTGAACACGAGCTCCCATGCCCAGCCAAGTAGCTATCTCCAACTGACAACGGCTTGCAAAGGAAAATCCAGCTCTTTCCAATGGAGTCCCACTGCCTATATTAAGCCTGGCAGGCAGGCTTACACGCAGACAGAACATTGCATACACAAGAAATAAATAAATATTTAAAAATAAAACACATTCTTTAAAAAGAACATATTGTGAGAAAAAAAAATTATTTGCAAGAAAACACACAAAATAAACGTGGAATAATAACAAGTGTATTGTCACACATTTGTCTGCTGTCTACATGCTCTAAAACTGTCCAGTTTTAGTGGGGAAGGGGGGCTGCTATGAGCAAACATAACACATGGCAGGGCTAGGAGAGCTGTGGTTTGTCTTCTGCCCTTCCATTCTTAGTGAGAGGGCCAGACTTTATGGGACAGCGAGCAAAATGTATGCCCTCGTAACAGAAGGGTTATATTTAGCTTTAAAAATGAAGAAGAAGAGAGAGGAGGAGGAGAAGGAGGAGCAGGAGGAGGAAGAGGAGGAGGCAGGGCAGTGGTTGTTGACATTTCCCAGGACAGAATTCATGCCAAAGACCATTGGAAGTTCTATACTACAGGGAGGAAGACGAAGCCCACACATGACTACATGTCCTTCGCAGACAAGTCAGCCTGCCAGAGCCACCCAGCTCCCATGCTAAACCCTTCCCTGCTCTCGTCCTCTCACCACTGGGGCCATTCCTGGAACTCCCGTGCTCCACAGGTGTGGCCAGGACGCCTTGCTCATTTGCACAGGCACACCCTTCTGCTGACCACATCAGACGCCAGGCCCATAGGACAGGGCCGCACAGTAAATACACACGTGCACACACACTTACACAAATCTGATGACCTGAGACTGGTTTGCCCAACTGTAGTTGGGAATATGTCAAAGCAAGTTCTAACCAAATGCCTTATCTCTGGGTTTGTCTTCCACTTAATGCGTGAGTCACCCTTGGAATCAGACAACTTAGCTTTTCTGTCTATACTCTATTTCCTCCTTTAGACCCATGTGTCAGAAAGCCTCAGGCTCCAAGTTTATCTGAGTCCTTTTGCTGGGCCTCAACAAACACAAGTTTTCTTTGAAGGCCACCCCATAGCTGTTGTGTGCATAAAGAAAGAGGGAGAAAGCAAGGCTGGGGGAGGGGTTTGATGACATCACCCCGGTGGCTAGTACTAGTTAGTAGGTAAGACAAGAAAAACATCTATCTTACACTAGGCGAGGTCTTGTCACTCCACAGGATAAGCAGCTGGCTTTTAAATCAGGTAATAGTGGCATTACTGGTCATCCTGTCTCCATCACCAAGGGGCAACACTTCAGGGTAGATATTTTTTTATCTGGAAGAAACATAGCTTTTTTATAAAAAAAAAAAAAAAAAGACTAAAACTGAACACTTCGTGCAATTATAAGCTATTGCGTAATTAAGATCTGAAAACTGTCTATACCGATATAGTGAAATCAAAGAACAAACTGTGCTTCCTTCCAAATTTTTGCTCGTTGTGGTCAAAATTATGCCACTTTTCACTGTGAGACGTGGGGCAATTGCTTAACTGTACTAAGCTCAACTTGGCCCGACTTCAAAACTGAAGATTTCAATCTTTACTCAATGTCAAGTTTCCATAAAACTCTGTAGGCACATGAAGCAACACAGGTCACAGAGAAGATGCAAAGCCTCCCCGGCCTCCATACACAATCTCTTCATCACAATCTCCTCAGCTGCTGAAGACAGGGAGCAAAGACTACACCAGCAGCTGTGGGAAACCTCGAGGAAGGAGTGGTTCCCAAACACAGCGAGGCAGATGCACATATGAACTCATAGTAACTGTGAGAGCATGAATATAACCTGTGCAGGACCCAGCCAGACAAAATTCCAGCATGGACAGAAGGAAGATGGACACATAATCCCATATATTAGTTAGTCGTTTGATAGATGCTGGTTGAGAGACTCGTCTTCAAAATAATTAAAAAGTCTACTACACGTCAGGGCAGAGGACAGACCCCAAAACCAAGGTTAGCTGGACAACACAAGCTGAACTGATGGAGGAGGAAGAAAGGAAAGAAGTCATCTCAAAGTCGACTGTGAAGGGATTTGAGCGTAGAAAGGATGGTCAAAGGAGTTGACTGTGGTGAATGTGTTCAAAATACACTGTATGAAATTCGCAAAGAATTACTAAAATAATTATTTTTAAATACAAGGAGGGTGCTGGATATGTGCCTCAGTGTTTAAGAGCACTGGCTCTTAATTCTGCTCTTCCAGAGGAACTGGGTTCAATTTCCAGCACCCACATAGTGGTTCACAACTGTAACTCCAGTTGCATGGAATCCAATCCCCTCTCCTGGCTTCCTCAGGCACTGGCCAAGCACATGGCACACAGACCTACATTCAGGCAAACACTTATACATATAAAACAATAAAATAAATTTGAATTTGTTTAAACAAACAAGGTAGGTAAGACTCAAGAGGCAATACCCAAGCTTGACTTTTTTCCACCATGTGGACATGCATGTACACATATGTGCCTGCACCCATATATGTCTCCGCCCACACACACGGGGGCATGTCTTCATCCAAATCATGAGAGCAGAATTCTATTTGTATTGGGCTTCTAATTCTTATGCACCTTCAAATACAACTGGAAAGACAGAATTACCTCTTCTTCCTTTGACCATACAGTGCAGTATCATAGTATACAAACTGAGAAGGGAAAATGGGGTACTCTTAAAGAAGAGAGGCTCAGGGGAGTTTTGTAGAGTCCCTGGTTGGAATAGAAGAGCTAATAATAAACACAAAGATTAATCAATGGGGCTAAGTGGTTATTATTGTTCTGGCTACTGTGACTATTATTGCTATATTACAAATCATTTTCCAGGTATACCACCTGGAGAGGGGTATTATCTGCCATGCTAGAGTCGCACAAAACAGTGTGCAAGATGGAAGGGCAGGTTTAATTTCAACTGTGAGTCTGAGTAGAGATGGACTTTTGTTGATTTATACAGGTTGATCATTTTTAACGTTGGTAGCTATGTACAAACCCCAGAACTTCATAAATGAGCAATATATGGAAAGAAACAAGGAAGAAGACCTGAGATCATGGCAGGGGCTGTTGGGAAGGAAAAAGTACCCAAGGGAAGGAAGGAGAAGTGTGAGGAAGGGGCAAAAAAAATCTGTGGACAGGACAAGGGCATGGTATATGTATATATGAAAGTGGCAAGTTAAAATCCATTCATTCATACAATTAGCACATCCTAGTGATAATAAGAAGGAAATAAAATGTGTTGAAGTTCCGTATAAAACACAAATTATTTGGAATAAAAGTTAGATTGACAAAGTCAATCATTTACAAGCTAAAATTAAAAAAAAAAATCCTCTTCCCTCCTCTGATAGTCGGCATGGTGATTCCTTGGTCTGGAGACCTTCCTGGCTCTCTCTGCAGTATTGCTTGCTCTGTGGGATGCTGTCACACAGAGTGCAGTGACTTCCTCTGTGGTCTCTGAAGGGCAGATGTTGCTCTGTTCTGCCATGGATCTCACTTAAGACATAAACAGAGCGGGAAGAGACATTGCATCACACAACCAATGATAGCAAGCTAGCGCACAAGGGGAGCCCTGAAGTGTGGACATTCAGGCCTCTCTAATGCGTCATACAGGATCAATCATCCCCGTGACCTTTACACCCACCATCTTTTCTCATGAGGACTATGCTAGCCAGCTTTTGTCAACTTGACATACCTGGGGAGAGGGAATCCCATTTGAGGCTGCTTCCATCAGCTTGGCTTGTGGACATATCTGTGGAACATTTTCTTGATTCGTGATTGATTGGGATGGTGTACCCCCTGCCCCGTCAGCAGTGCCACCCCACAGGAAATGGTACTGAGCTGTATATGAAAGTTAGCAGATCAAGACCAGCTCTCCTCCATGGTCTCTGCTTCCGTCTCTGCCTCCCAGTTCCCACCTTGAGCTCCTGCTTTGCCTTCCGACAATATTGGACTGCAACCTGTAAACTAAATAAACTCTTTCCTTCTCTAATTTGCTTTTGGTCATGATGTGTATCACAGCAACAGCGAGGCCAGCTAGAACTAAGCCACAGCGAAGAACCTAAGAAACCCACTCATAGAACCTAAGTGGAAGTTAAGAAAGAATTGTGTAGAAATTACAATAAGAACACCCCTGGTTTTAAATCTAATGAGGATTTTTACTCATTCTAAGCTTCAGCTTCTTTGTCCACAGCTAGAGCTAATATTTTTATTGGTTAATAATAACTTTTTCCCAACTGAAAGAAGCTTACTCTAAAAATAAGGCTATACAGGTAAGTTTTTAAAGGAGGCTTCAAACATCATCACCAGTACAAGTGTGATGTGGAATTCCCCTCTGTATGCTATGAATATATTTTATTATTATTGGTTAATAAAGAAGCTGCTTTGGCCTATGGCAGGGCAGAAAAGAGCTACACAGGAAAACTAAACTGAATGCTAGCAGAAAGTAGGCAGTCAGAGAGACACCATGTAGCTGCTGAAGGAGAGAGATGCCAAAACCTTACTGGTAGGCCACAGCCTCGTGGCAATACACAGATTAAAAGAAATGGGTTAATTTAAGATATAAGAGCTAGTGAGGAATACGCCTAAGCTATTGGCCAAACACTGTTGTAGTTAATATAGTTTCTGTGTGATTATTCGGGTCTGGGATGCTGGGAAACCGACACGCAGTCTCTGCTTACACAGGTGTTCAAAGTTGGCCCTTTCAGCATGCACAGCAATAAGAAATATTAACTTCAGTGGGCAAGAAAAGTGTGTTTTCCCCTATTACCTTTGACCCTAAGACTCTGAAAAAAATCAAATGGTTTTTCAGATCTTTTGGTCTACCAGGCTGTGCTGCAGCAAAGCATGGGCAGAGTTTGTCTATGACTCCTTTTCCACTCCCAGTGGAATCAGAATAGTGATAAAGGACAAAACTTTATTATAACACATGTTAGGGATGGTGGTTCGGGTGCTTCATTTATGGGAAACTATGGTTCTCAGTATAACGACCATTGTAATGGGGTCTTCAAGGGATACCAGACTTATCTCATATTCCAACAGAAACCAGTTAGGATTTATAGCCAAAGGGGAAGCAGTAGACAGTGCAAATGAAATTCCTATGAGGAAACAGCAAAGATACAGTGTTGTCTGGCCAAGTCAAGGCCATGGAATTAGTGTCAAAGGTGGCCCAGGGTGATAAGACATAGTCTTATGATGGTAGACTTATTGTCTAAACTTAGCAGAATTGTTATTCAGAGTACTTTACAAAAACAGAGGGGGTAGTCTGTCCCCATCAGGCAAAGTGTTCTAAGGAGCCTGACCAAAAGGTAGGTGTTTGCATAAATGAATTGTTGGTTAAACAGCTGGTATTCTTCTCTAGATGCTCATATGTTCATAACCCTTCCTGGCCATCAGCTCATCCTGTATCTTATCGAGTTATTTCTCCCACAGAATTCTGTTGCTTTTCCTTGTGCTGCATTCATATGAGTGAAGAAGGCTGGGAGAGGAGGGTCGAGGCCATAGCTCAACCCAGAGACCGAAGAGGAAGCTCTGGAAAGAACCTATGCCACAGAATCAGCATTCCTCTGAGTTGGGATTGTTCTAAATGCACTGCCCCCACTGAAGCCTGCATAGCTCTATACACTTTCATCTCGTGAAGAGGAGCAGCACTCTGAAGATGGGTAGGAGCTTCAAAGATTAAATAGAAGACATAAAAAGGATTCTACTTGTAAAAAGCCTAGAATCAGCTGTTGGAACAAAGTGCCAAGGTAAGGGATACGAACTTTTCCCAATAGGTAAGGAATAGCCAGTGAAGATTTGGAGGGCAAAGAAATGGGAAAAGTTCACAGCATACAGCTGTGTACTTTAAGGATTTATTTGAGAGCAGAATCCAATCAAAATCAAGGTGTCATACAAAAGATCATAGCGTCTAGATGCAAGAGGGTTCCCCTGACACTACACAGTGCCTTCTTTATTAGACAAGTAACTAGAAAAGAAAACTCAGAAGAGATGTCCAGAAGGCATGCATACTTCAGGATACCATATGAAAAGTAGTGTGTTTTAGGATCACTTCTGTTGCTATGATAAAATCCCCTGGTGAAAAGCAACTTGGGTGAGAGAGGACTGGTTTTAGCTCCTAAGTCCAGTGCATAATCCTTCACACAGGAAAATCTGAGCAGCATGAAGTTGATGGAGCTGATCACACTATATTCACATCAAAAGAAGAAATGTGTGTATACCCACTTGCTGGCTTTTGCTCAGTTCAATTTCTCCACTCCTACAGTTCAGAACACTTTGTCTATGAAATGGCATTGCCTACAGGAGGCTGGGTCTTTTCACATCAATTAACTTCATGAAGACAATTCCCCCACAATTCCTATGGGTGCAAACCTATGTTTCTCTGGGTCTATGTGTGTTTCTTGTGCTTTTTCTTTAGCCCTTTTTCTGCTGTCTATTTGTTTTGTCCTGTTCTGGTTGGTTTGGTTTGGTTTGGTCTTATCTTATATTACATTCCCTTAGATATCTGCTTTATTTGGCTAATGGGAGACAGAAATGAGACATCAGGATACCAAGAGAACTGGGAGAAGATGGGGGAGGAAAAACAATTAGAATATATGAAAAGTCTATTTTCAATTAAAAGGACAGTTCCCACAGACAGGCACCCATAGACTAATCCAATGTAGACAACTCCTCACTGACACTCTCTTCCCAGGTGATGCTTATGTCAAGTTGACAAAGAAAATCATCACATCATGTAGTTTAGTCTAAAATTGAATGAAATTGGTACAGATAAAAATTTTGGAAAGAAAATAGAGGGAAATGTGTTCCAGCTAACTAACCTTTGAACACAGAAGAAAGGGAGCCTAAGAAAAGGAAAGAGCACAGAAGACAATTGGGTCACCAGGGGAACATACTTCTTAGAGGATAATTTCCAAAGTAGCAAGTGAATAAGGATGCAAAATGCAGCAGCAGGAAAAAGATTGAGAAAAAGACTATTTGAAAAGGCTGGCAGAAAATGTTAGTGGGAATTTCGGGATGTATCGGGAGCTGAATTTGAAATAGAAGCATTTGGGCTGAGGCACACATGAAATGATTTCTCCCTACAGAATACCTTCTGCTTATATGTTCGACCTGCTCCCTCGTGCTTTCAGCCAACATGGACTTACCATGGCGTTGTTGGAGCTCTTCTCCGAATGATCCATCTTTTTGCTTTTGCACATACTGCAAAATGCTTTGTGTGTCCATCGTGCTCAGAGTGGGTCTATTGTCGGGTCATAACACCCTCCAGAGGTCCTGTCACCTATAACCGAGAAGACTGGGTCACACCATTCCCTAGTTTGACTACCTGAATCTTTCCCACCACCATGCATATAAAAGAGCCTACAGAAACGGCAAGCGATGACTAAGGTCATCTTCAACTGGTACCTAACTTCTGTAGCTGAAGCTTCCAACAAAACTCAGCAAGCATTCTGTAATAGAACTGAGCTTAATGGCAAGTCTTTATCAGTTTTTTTTTTTAGATTTTTTTAATTCATTTTAAATAACAACTGCAGTTCCCCCTTTGTCCCCTTTTCCTGTTCCCCCCACCTCCCCCACAACCTCCCCATCCACTCCTCTGAAAGAGTAAGGTCTCCCATGGGGAGTCAACAAAGCCTGGTACATTAAGTTGAGATAGGACCAAGTTCTTCTCCCTGCATCAGGGCTGAGCAAGGCATCCCATCATAGGGAATGGGCTTCAAAAAGCCAGTTCATGCACAGGGTTAGATTCTGTTCCCACTGCTAGGAGCCCCTCAGACAGACAAAACTGTCACCCACATTCAGAGGGCTAGTTCAGTCCCCCAAGCATGTTGCCCGGCTGTCCGTCTAGAGTCTGTGAGTTCCCGTGAGCTCGGGTTGTCTCTGTGGATTTCCCCTTCATGATCCTGACCCCTCCTTGCTCATATAATCCCACCTCCCTCCCTTTGATTGACTCTTTGAGCTGGGCCTCATGCTTAGATCTCTGCATCTGCTTCCAACAGTGACTGGACAAATGATGACAATTAGGGTAGTCACCAATCTGATTACAGAGGAAGGCCAGAGTGTCAGGTGAGGTCATCCTTGTGGATTCATGGGAAGTTCCCTAGCATCAGGTTCCTCCATAATGGCTCCCTCTATCAAGTTATCTCTTTCATTGCTCTCCCACTCTGTCCTTCTCAAGATCACTGAATTCAATTCCCTATCAGTTCTTAAGAAAACACTGAGAATGGGAGGTAGAACCAGAGTTCAAGACTATCCTCAGCTATATAAGGGTTCTGAGGCCAGCCTGGTCTAAATGAAACTTAGTCTCAAAAATGACAAATGAACATGAATGAACTGAAAATGAGACATCTCAGGATAAAATGTATAATGTATTTATATAATGTATGTGTTTTGGGGTGACGATGCTGGTCTTTGAAGAAATTCAAATACCAAATTTAAAGCGCTTAGACTGGAATTCCAAACTCTACACAATCTAAGCATTTCTTTCTTCTCCAGCATCATCGGTTTGTCTCCCTCGAGGACTATTCCACCAATCACTCAAAAGTAAACGTGTGACAAACAGGATCTTACTCTAGGCAGGCATCCTGTCAATCATGACACCAAGTGCCCGCCAGCCCACCTCCTCCAGCAAACCTTCCTGCCTCTGATTCTTAGCTGGCCAGTTTCCTCTCCTTCTCAGGAAGGCCTTTGCTCTGGTGACTAAATACACACATAAAACACCTAGCCTGGTGTATGCAGGTATTTAGAAGCATACCAGAAATTCAATAGATGGTCAGTCAACGTTTAAAGTGACAGGATTCATATTTTATTATTCAGCTGAAGTTGCATCTCACAATACACTCTCATGATAACACTGTCTCGTTGCTCAGGTCTATGTGGTTCTTAAAGTACTTGACCTTGCTTATGTATCGTATCTATTAGATGAAATTCCTCTTCTATTTAATATATAGAATTCCTATTGGGGTGGCCTATTATATTTTATACTCCCCAGAATATGCCCCATACCACCTAATGGTAATAGTCATTTCTATATGATTGTGTGTGTGAATTTAGAGGACCTAAGAAAATATCTGTGGTGAATGGGCAGTCAGAGTCTTTTCATTGCCAGAAACACGAATGTTTGCGACAGCCCAAATGGAAGGTATGCGACTACAGAATTCCCTTAGCTTTGATGGTACCTTTGTTTTTTCCCAGTCTAGGTTTATTCCTCTCAGAACCTGGAGGGTGAACTTTCTGTTCATTATCCCGCCAGTCCAGCAACAGAACACCTCCAGATGACCATGTCTTCGGTTTTGCTTTGTTAGCTATCGCTTAAGTGGGAGCTGAGCCCAGGCTTTGCCTCTGTAACCTATTAACTGGCGTAGTCTGGTATCAACGCGGCTGGCTGGTGTCTGGCAATAGATACCATTGGCCGATGTTCTGACCACGCAAAGAAGTGATCACATCTGTTTGAGAGGTAACCACCAAAGAATGTCGGCGAGAAACACCCCAGGGAGAAGAAATGCATCTGCCTCCTTAGATGGTCGTTTCGGAAACCAGAAGACAAATGACAAGATGGAATAGCACACTGGTGGAATCCGTGCTAGTACTGGGAAACAGCTTGCATATGCAAGATGGGCCTCATATCTGCCACCCCTGGATCAGAGGAACTGGTGCCAATAATGGTAAGTTTCCTAGTATGACTAACTGACCGAGTGACTAGCTGACACGTCCCCCATTGTGCTGATGGGAAATGAGGTGTTGATGTAAGGAAACATTTGGGGCGCGACCTCCCTTGCTGCTCTGAGGTTCCCCTCCCCTTAACAAGTCCGGGGGGGGGGGGGAAGGGCAAAAAGGCTTCATCTTCAGCTCAGGAGTCCCACTGCTATTGTTAGCTCTCACTCCAGAGAGAACAAGGAACAAGACTCGGAAAGGACACTCCTTTTGGTGGATTAGCTTGGAATGTATAGGAATAATCCTTGATCCTGTATATCAAAATGTATTCCAAATCTCCAATGTAAAAGCTTTCCCTTAGCTATTAAAAACCCCATTTTTCTAGGGAACGTCTAAGAATATGCATGGGTCACTCTAAATGATAATACTGAAAGGAGTTTAAAAGTTGCTTACACCTGAGGCATTAGCTCAATTAGTACAGTGCTTGTAGTGCACACATGAGGACCTAAGTTCAAATCCAGGAACAGTTCTGAAAACCTAGGCATGGGACACCAGTTTATAATCCCAGTTCCTGGAAGGGAGAGACAGATGGATCCCTAGGGCTCACTGGCCAATCAGCCTAGCCTAACAGGCTAGCATCAGGCCAATGTGAGACCTATCTCAAAAGAAGACGAGAGGCATTCTTGAGGAACAACAGCTAAGGTTGTCCTCTGCTTTCACACACACACACACACACACACACACACACACACACACACACACACATTGTCTACGCATGTACATTCACACACAGTTACATAGCCTACTAAAGTCTCACAGAGAGCAGCAACAGATCAGACCCCCTCCTTCCTGCGTTCCTGACATGCAGTTTTTGACTAAGCCCATCAGTTGGGGTCCCTCTGTTGATTCATATAAAGCTGCCGTGTGGGCTCCCCTCAGCTGAGTCATAGCCCGAGACATAATGAACCAATTAGCCAGCAGGTGCTGACGACTTTCACTCTACTTCTCACTCACACATTAATTACCCGTGCAATAAAAACCCCGTAGTTATCCAAACTCCTTTGCTCAGGCAGGCCCAGAAATGCGCTGAGGGGTGTAAGGGGCAGGGGAAGACAGCTGCCCCAAACAACAGAGCACCTCACTCTGCCTGTCGCATCCACATCTGCTCTTACTTAGTGTCGTGATCAAATTCACCTGGGAGCCTCGGAGGAGGGTAGGGAGGGACACTTTCAAGTCGAGGAGACCACTGAGGAAACTCCAGCACAATTCCTATGGGCCTGTGTGAGTTCGCTTGGTTGATTTATGCTGGGAAGAGGCTCTGACTAGCTAAGCAGAGTGACAGCCCCGGCTTTGCTAATCACCAGTTGCAATAAAATGACTTTAATCTCTGCTGCTTCTGGCTTTTTATTTTTTTTACACTTGGTTTTGTTTTTCCCTGTAATAATGAAGACACCTCTAGAAAACGGTCTTGTGGACTCTTGGCTGCAAGGCTAGTCACTAGACTCTGAGCAAAAAGCAACAATGTCTTCTTAATCTCTGCTGTAAATTCACCGTCAAACACAAACTCCTGGAACATGATCATTGCCAAGTGTTACTTCTTAACGATGAGCACTCAAAACAGCAACAAAAACAATGGTCCAGTGCAATATTTCTAGCTGGCTTATTTAACTCAAGGCAAGGGCTCCTCTCTTCCTTTATTTTTGTCTCAATTTCCTAGATGTTACCCTAAGCCACTTCACTGGGGTTTTATTGCTCAACTAATACATTGAATCTCATTGTCCAGAAACCATGTAACTCCTTTTAGAAAGGACATATGAACCAGTATGCCAGACATAGCCACCGAGGACAACATAGTCACTCTGTGGAAAGGAATCACTAGACTGGATGGCAAGGTTAATGACGAGAGATATACAACACTAACGGATTCTGGGAAAAGAAAGGAAAAGTTCTCCTCACAGGTGTGACTAAGACGAAGTTCGCACTAAGCCTGCAGAAAACTTACCAAGTGAGGCGTCATCGCGGGGTTTCCAAATCCCCCTCTGCAGTCCCTTTCCAGACTTCAACAAAAGAGTCATCGTTGATCACATTTGCATGTTTAAATCTTCATTCTTCTATTGCGCAATTAAAAACGAATGTCCAAGGAATGTCTGACACTAGAAAACACATGGCGACGTCTTTGGCAGAACAAAGAGAAACAGGGAGTTTCATACTGGTAACTCTCCACTACCGCTGAAATGTCCTAAGCTGGGGGCAAGGGCCACAGCTCCAGCAGGAAAGCGCTTGTTCCATGTGAATAAGGATCTGACTTGGGGACCCCAAAGCCATGCTAAAAACTCCTTGGTGGAGTGCACTTGCAATTCTAAAGCTGGGGAGGCAGAGACTGGTGACACCCCAGGGCTCGTTGGACAGCCAGTTTAGACTAATTGGCAAGCTCCAAGACCCTGCCTCTGAAAGCAAGGCGGTGGCTGGTGAGGGATGACAACAGTGGCCTTCCCATGCACACACACACATACACACACACACACACACACACACACATACACACTGTCCTAAGCTGAAACTGCCTATAGGAACTTTCTCTGTACCCAATTCCAATTGATGAGGTGAAATAGAGGTTGAAAACACTAAGCTAAATGGGTCAAGGGAGTACCTGGCCTATACCTGGCTAGCTCCATTTTCCTGCTACCAGACACCAGTGCTTCAGGGTTCTAGGTTTCCTGACCGAATCCATTCTGCTTCTGAAGCCTCTACTCCAGAACAAGGCAATCCTAACTCCCTTATAATATGCCACGACTTACTTTCCTCCCATCCTTGCCTTGCCCAGATAACTTCAGTTTCTAAGTTTTCTGGGCATCTAGCTCTTGAGGCCTGTTCTCATTCTCTGAGCAGGATCCATAACTAACCTATCATCTGGAAAAAAACTGATTTAATTTAATTTAAAAACCCAAAGTTATTTAAGGCTGTATTACAATAGGATGTTAGCAATGCCATGAGGTAGAAGAGCAAGCAGCTTTATTATTAGGCTAGGTACCTAAAAAGCCAGCACTGTCCAGAGAGGAGCCAAAATCAAGGAGGAGGGAAGCACACTGAGGCCAAGATTGGGATCTGAGTGTGGCTGTAAGTGATTGCAAGTACGTGATTACATGGATATCAAGGTTGGGGCAGGTGAGGACCGATAGAGCGGCAGAGAAAATCCTCCTTGTAAGAGCGGTCACCAGTACTAGGACTAAATAAAGTACCAGTACTAAATAAAGAAGGAAAATAATTCTAAGTAATAATAAGATTAAGTGCAGACATTGTAAATACAGGCAGTCGTCTGCGAACATATGATGCAATGTCCAGCAAATGCAGAAGCTATGAGATCCTAATGTGCTCACATTAGTGTAAATTCTCTTAAATGACAACGTTAACCTCAGTCGCTTAGTCTTCTTAACTTGCCACTTCTGGTTGTCAAATTGTTGTCTAAAGTAATGTAAGACAGCACTGTTGAAGAAATTTGACATCTGATTTGTCTAATATCCAACCTGATTTTCATACCCTATATAGTATATGAAACATTTCACTTTTGTGTAAACCCTTATTGCTCAATGTCTTAATATTCTACTGGCATTTTTATTTTTTTATTTTTTTTTTATTTTTTTATTTTTTTTTTTTTTTATTTTTTTTTTTTTTGGTTTTTCGAGACAGGGTTTCTCTATGGTTTTGGAGCCTGTCCTGGAACTAGCTCTTGTAGACCAGGCTGGTCTCGAACTCACAGAGATCCGCCTGCCTCTGCCTCCCGAGTGCTGGGATTAAAGGCGTGCGCCACCACCGCCCGGCTACTACTGGCATTTTTAAAATAAAATAAAATTTATCGCAAAAATTTTTGAAGGCTTTATATTTCTACAACTATGGGCCATATTCATTATTGTCAGGTAACTCCTACTTATGAAAATCAGCTAAGAAGGGTTTGAACCTGCTGTGAGTCACCATCTTACCCCAGTTCATCTCAGTGTGCTCATTGGAAATCAGTTCAATGGTTTCCATGAAAACTGCACACCAACCAATGTTCCCATGAAAGGGACCTCATTCCTGAGAGAGAGAGAGAGAGAGAGAGAGAGAGAGAGAGAGAGAGAGAGAGAGAGAGAGAGATCTACATTATCCAAACAACATCTTGCCAGAGTTATAGGTCAACACTTCTGCAGGCCCTAAAAAGCCAAGGTGCCCAGTGACGATGCTAAAGGAAGGACAGGTGTGCAACCAAGATGCAGATAGAAGGGGAGGGGAAGTGTGTAAGCATTGCACATGCAGGTTCACATGCTTCAGCTCTCTTCCTGAAGACCCTCGTCCATTGCAGAGCTCTCGCCACCTGCACAGAGTCAGGCCGTGTGTCTGCTGATGTTCTGATACAGTAACTGAAGCTAGTGATGGTCTTTTTTCCAGTTCCAATTATTATCATAATTAATGATTCCATCTCCTATTTTTTGGATCTCAATTCATGACAGACAGTTGATTCTGAGATATAAATTAATGTTTTTATGCATTTAGTTATTATATATTCACATTTTATACTCATTTATAGACACTTAAATTTTATTATGTTTATTTGTGTGTTTTGTGGGTGTATAAGGGGATACATGGGCCTCTGTGTACATGTGGAGGTCAAAGGACAAACTTGTAGGAATTTGTTATCTCCTTCCACCATATGAAGCCCAGTGATCGAGCCCAGGATTGTCAGGTTTGACAGTGAGTGGCTTGACCTGCTAAGCTGTTCCAATGGCCTGTTTTCCAAGAAATTTTAAGGAAAACGATCCCTTTAGTATGATAGCTATTATTTCCCCTGCTTTGAATACAATGTAAACAAAGTTCAGAGATGCTAGGAAAGACGCCTGAGATCACAAAGCAAGTCAGATTGCAGGCATAAGGGGAGGAGCTCTGGGCCTGCCTCAACTTGCTGCACCATGCTTTGTGCGAGTTCAAGGGGCCTGCCCCTTTCTGAATGGAGATTGAGGAGGAGTGGATGGGAAGCAGGTAGACGGGGCAAGAGGAGGGGATGGGAGGAGCAGAGAGAGGGCAAACTGGTTAGTGTGTAAAATAAAAGGGAAAATGTTATTTAAATAAAAATAATATCAGAAGGAAATAGAGAAAATAAAGCATATTTAGTGTTTCCTTGTGAGTGACCTTGGAGAATCCCCCCCCTCCTACCTAAAAACACAATATGGAATGCAGGTATCTATTCTTCCATGAATGGTACCCCCAGCCCTGACCCGTGAGATGCCAGGATACACAGATGCAGAAGCAAGGCACTCTCGCTACTGCATTTCCCAGGCTGAGCAAGCGCACAGATATTTTACCCATGTGATCACAAAGCATCACTGTCACCATGAGACTGGAACACTAGGACTGCTCCGGTTTTGACAACAAGTGTCCCACAACACAGCGGCTCTCCCAGACCGCTCCATGGCAAGTGGCTGCCTGTCACCAGCTAAGTCCTGCCTGGTATGAGTTAGGTGTCTTCTGCCTCGACCTTGAGGCAAAGTCATACTTTCACAAGCAAGTCTAGGATCGAAGGCTCCCCCAAGTTCTCTGAGTATCGCTAGATGCCAACTACAGCACATTTGTTCAATAAACAATAGGTATGTGCCAAGGATGAGCCTGGTGCTCCGCTCTGTGCATGGAGAGATGCCAGCAAGTGGAGACATGGCCCCTATCTAGCAGAAAATTAAACACG